GTGAGTATCAATTTTTCCAAGTCCTCCTTCCTCATTATATGCCCTAGACATTTAACTATTTCTTCCTGATGTTAAGTATGTTTTCTTTTTGTTTTCATTTTCTCTAAAACCTTGTCATTGCACGCATTTGGTCCATAGTATCCTCAGTATCTTGTAGTTTTTGCGAAATACTTCAATGGTTCGATGTAAATGGTTTAGGTGAAATCCTAAAGACTGGCTTCATTTTTTTTCCCAATCTTTATTTTATCTGTGTGTTTCTGTAGTTGAATCCGTGTAATGCTGTCATCATATATATTTATATACTCAATAAATTTTATATAGTTTTTACTTGTTTTGTTCTTACGAGTTAAATAATACTGTGTGCTGACAGTCAACCAAAGCTAAACAAAATTGTTTATTATATTCCATTGTTTTTGTTTTTTAATTTATCTATTGTTTATAGTTGGTTTGTTGTTCAGTAGTTACTTAAGACCTTTCTGTTCATGTTTTATTAGATGAACAATGAAAAGAAAATATAATTTAATTATCTACTGGCCTTTAATTTACATAACTAGCAAATTTTATTTAGCATAAAGATTATAGTGTCTTGACTTTTGTAATAGTTCTTATAATAATCTTGGACTGCTACAATCTAATATTTTTTTTAAGCCCTGAAATTAAAGTAATTTATAATTATATAAGTTTGTATTAAAAAAAACTTTTTAATCTTGTCACACATACACACACTGTATATTTGGGCCATAAGCTTTCTTTTATACATGCTTCATTGAGGGCATCTCAACTTGGAATTACTACTAGTCGTATACAAAACAACTTAGAATTACTACTACTTCTATACTATACAGCTTAGAATATAAACACAAAAGAAGTGTACTAACAACAAACCCCTTCAAAATTTCTAATTAATTAGCTGAAAGTGCTTTGTCTAATAATCACTATGGATAATTTCTGTACACTCTTAGTCCTCATAAAAGAAAAACTTAATAAAAAATTTATAAAATTTTTCTTGTCCAATCACATTCAATGAAACACATCAGTTCTAAAAAGGTTTATTATATGAAAACATTTTAAACTGCTGGGTTAATGTTTCTGTAAACTTTTGAGAAGTCATTTTCATTAAAAGACTTGTTTGAATACTTTTTTTGGTTTTCTTAGATTTTTGTGTTGTGTATTCTATAATCTTTTGGGGTAGAAAATTCTTTTATAAAAAGGTGGAGTCTCTTTCTTTCAACCATGCACACCAGAAAATAGTGGCAAATAGATCAGTTCATTCAGCCATGCATGTAAAATTGAAAATTTGGTGTTCCATTCTCAATAATATGTAACAAAGGCTATTCAATATCTTTGTTTATATGCAGGATTGCTCTCCAAATTTTTTTTCTTGCTAAGCAAAAAAAAAAAAAAAAAAATTCCATACCACATTAAAATCTTTACTGGTATAGCTGACGTGTCATCTGCAGCTTTTTTTCTGCCTGATGATTCGTATCTAAAATTTTGGCCCTCAAAGCAGAAGGGCTAGTGAAACCTTCTTTTTCAAGATATTAATTACCATACAAGGTATTTTTTCTTTATCTGGGCTTATCTTTCCTTTGCTTTCCCAGATTACTTACATTTTTTAAATATATGCATGGGATGTTATTTGTTGTAATAAGAGAAACAAAAATGAATTAAATAGTTTGAAAAACTGCTTAACATATTCAATGTTTTTGTTTATTTGGCTATATGGATATGTGCTTTATTATTATTCATTGCATCTGAGATTTATATACTTTTCAGCTATTCAAACAAGTAGTGTGTATTAGAATATAGAGGCAGCCTTAAAAGAAATTTGAATTTATCTCTTACTTCCTGGGAACTTCTTTTCTCTTGGTGAAGACTGAAGTTTTCATTTGCATTACTTTAACAGTTAAATATTATCCAGAGTATTGATGAAAAAACAAGTCAAATTAATAATAAAAATTTGAAGAATTTAAATTTGAAATTTACTTCTTTAAATTTATCACTGATAGTATGAAAAACTTAGGAATTGGAAAATAATTAGATAGCATTTCCCTTTAATACTAATTTTGCCAGATTTTGTTAAACCTTTACTCTGCATAAAGGTCAAAGTTTATAAAATAATCATCTGAAAAAATACCAAACTATGACTTGGAAAATATTGCTCTTCTGTTTTTATTCAAATAACCTTGTATGGTTAAAAATAAACTTCTTTAATGTCAATGAAAAAATAGTCTATTTTTAAAACTAAATTTTCCAGTTTAAATAAATATGAAAGTATATTTTAGATTAAAAAAAGAATTTTTCTTAACATGGCTGAAAATTCTTGACCCATATAAAAACTAAACCATCTGCTTGCCACTGTTAGCAGGCTGCTTGTAGATATGAATCTAACTAGAATGTCTTCATCTTTAAATTCATGGTTGCAAATAACAGGACAACAAACTTTTTTTTCTTTACTGGGGGTAGTTTTGTTTTAGACTAAATTAAGTATATTGATTTCAAATCTATAGTCAGAATTGTTATTCTACATAAAGTTTTTTAAGATGTGCATGTACAAGGTAAACATATTAATAGCATATTGGTACTGTATTTAGTATATTTAAGTTCAAGGAAAATTTAGATGACCATAAGAAATAATCAAATCATAATATCTTCAGAAATCTTTGAGATACTCTTGTGTATTTTGTAAAAACCAGCAATAGATAAATCTATCATTGGGTTAAATTGATCTTGATTTAATTTTTGTTTTTCATATTTTTTTTTTTTTTGTTTATTCAAGAATGCCACTTTCTGAGTAGGACTTGAATTTTATTCTTTAGTGAAGTAATATAAAAATGTGTGTGGAGATGATGAGACAAAGTGGAAAAGCTGATATGTTTTGCCAACATGTCATGTGTTAGGTTCAGCTTCTTCAGGTCTGAATGGAAGCTAAAATTGTTTGTAAAGAAAATGCATTGGGATTTTAAGGATAAGAGGGGCAATAAATTAATCTTTTTTTCTTGCTCTATTAGATCATATACTACATTGTTCTATTATTGCTTTTATGTTTATTGTCAAGGATTGTGAGATTAGTGTACTTTCTTAGTGAATCCTTTTCTCTCCTCAACAGACTGGCATTTATTAAGTCAAAATTATGGTCAGATGTATTCTGGTGAATTACCAGTGCATTTAAAGTGTTGGTATGTGGTATATCTCTGCAATGCTTATATATTTTTAGTTTCAAGTTTCTGGATGTTTTGATGATATATCATTGGGTATTTTGTACAAAGCTATTCTGTATATTCCTGCCTCTGTTTTGTTGTTGCTGTTTTGTTTGGTGCTAACTGTATCCTTTACTGCTTTAGGGGTGGTGTTGATTAATTTCTGATTAAGGTTGGATAAGTTATTTTTGATGGTGGCTGTTATAAAGTTGGTTGGTAGGATTATGTGCTTATTTTTATGATTGTTATTATTATTATTCATGGATTTTGTAGTCTTTACTTTTGTCATTGTACAGGAAATAATTATTGTATTAGAGCAATTTGAAAGTGTTTTCAATGTATTTCTTCTTTGGATAGGAATTGGAATTTACAGATTCTAAGAAATAAAAAGCCTATGATTATTCTAGATTTTATATATATTGTTTCTTTATTGCAACTTATTGACCAATATATTTTTCAGCTTTCCTGTTTTGCATAAAATTCAGAGATCTTATTAAATTTTGGAGACGTCTTTATAGTAGATTAGCCAAAACTTAGAAGCAAGGGGAAATTTAGTTTTCTGTATCAATTACATTGAATAACATAAACTGCCTGAAAATAAAGTTGTAAAAATTTGAAAAAGTTCCCATTTACACAAGATTATAGTAAATGAATACACATGCTGATCAACATATGCACAGGTTCCAAAATAAGGGTATGTATCACTAGTAATCATAATCCATAGTACTGACTGCTTTGTCAATGAATACCAAGAAAATGAGTAATATTGCCATACCTTACTTGGGGATTAGCATATGCCATTCCTCTTTTATGCTTATAATTGTATGGGTGACCAATACAATTACAGGATATATCATTCTAAGCCTCTTGTACAGTGATGTACAGAGGTTTGGTGATGCCTGGGTCGAACTCTTTGATTATGTACTCCTAAGATTCAAGTAGAATGTGAGAAAGGAAGACATATTAAATGTGCAAAAACAGTAAAACATGAAATAAACACTTTATTTAAATTAAATATAAACTAAATTTTTATTTCACTCTTTGATTGGATACCTTCCTGATATGAATGCCCAGTGATGATGTTGTACACGCTGTCCTCACCTTCTGCATGCTACTGCTCTTATACCTGTTGAGATATGGTTAAAGTTATAAGTGGGTTAACTGAATGAGTTAATTATCATCATATAAGGTTTCATAAGTGTTCAATTGGACAGAGATTGTATTAGCCATGGAAGTTATCAAATGTCTTAACATGTTAAGTAGCACACGCATCATTTGGGCAAATATCTTCCTGGCGGAACAGTAAAGTCTTTCTGTTAAAGAAATGGCATTGAATGAAAATGGTGTTCAGTGTTTCCTTCACAAACTTATGGCATTCCAAAATCATGCATGGTATGAGTGTTACTATTTCAGATGATGGTTAAAGACTGAAAATTTTACCAGAATATTTACTATCCCCATGAGCATACACCACACCAAAACTAGCATTCTCTCAGAATGTTGTAATTTGATTTTCTCTTAGTATATTTTTATCCTTTTGTAGATAACTTCATAATTCCATTCATACAGAAATTTTATTTTTCTAAGCTACTCTAGGTTCCTTCTTATAAAGAAATGAAACATTTTTCATTAAGAAAATTTTGCAAATTTGTTTATTAAAAAAAAAATTATATGATCCTATATATTATGTTAATCATATTGATTCCACTTGGGTAACTTCTTTTAGCTTACAACTTTATTAAATTGATTGCTATATTAATTCATTACCTTATTAAATAATTCTATTTTTTATTTTTACAGTTTGAAGCCAAGGCACTCTATAATTATGATGCCAAAGAACCAGGGTAATGTATTTTAAAATGACATTTCTCAAAATGAATGACTTATTTTTAATCCTTTTTTGTTTGTGAAGCATTTTAGATCAGATGAAAATATTGTTATAATATTAGTTTAAATAACTTTATTTGTTCTAATGTTGAACCTAACAGTTTAAATGATTTCCTTGAATTTAGCATGACATCCTTTGTGTGTGTGATATATATATATATATATATATATATATATATATATATATATATATATATATATATATAAAAAAGAAATATGTTGTAGTGGTTCCAACGAGAGAAAAGTATGTATATTAAAAAAAAGAGGGGTGCATAAACGTTTTTTTTTTATGTAATGTGAATTTATTGAGAAAAAAATATTATACTTTGTTTTACATAATTTCACGACACGTGTTTCTGGTCTGGTCTACAAACCGTCTTCAGGTGAAAGTGGAGATTTTACATATTATTAAAAATAATTAATTTTTCTTCATGTTCAATGTGGAATATTCTCTTCTATGAGACATTCTGTTTGTGTGTTGGCAATCCGAATTTTCTTTCTTTAAGTAGACCAGACCAGAAACACGTGTCATTGAAATTATGTAAAACAAAGTATAATATTTTTTCTCAATAAATCCACATTACAACCAAAAACGTTTATGTACCCTCTTCTTTTTAATATATATATATATATATATATATATATATATATATATATATATATATATATATATATATATATATATTTATATGTACACATATTTGTACACATACAAATTTTTAATTTATTGTATTTCCAACTAATGAATAAACATACTTTTCATTTAATTAACAGTACGCAAATATCTACTAACTAAATATACATAGAAAACAGAAAAAAAATTTGATTTAATAGAAATAAATCTCCTTTATCCATTTTAATGGCTGAAAAAAGTATTCGTACAATGTGAATTTCAGATATTAAAACTTTTAAATTGATTTAATACTCTAGATTATTCAAGTGAAATATTCTAGAATATTTCAATGTTATCAGTAGTTATTTTTAGCCTAAAAATACAAACGGAGCATTCTATACTTGATATTTGTGCAAGGTTTTCATCATGGCAAGAGATAAAGAATTGACAAATTTGCAAAAGGGACTTATTTATTAAACTCTGGAAAGAAGGTAAAAGTTACAGGAAAATCTCAGACAACCTGAATATTCCATCTACTGCCTTTTAGTTCATTCATTGCAAGGTATAAAAAAAACTTAAAACTGAAAACCAAAGAACAGGTGCCCCACAGAAGATTTCCGCAAGATCTTTGAGGAAATTAATGTGTCAAATTAAACAAAATCCAATGGTTATTCATCAAGAGTTAAAGGATGATTTGCTTTCATAAGGAATCTGTGTCACTAAATGGAAAGCAATGAAATTCACAAGAACAATCTAAAATCATGCTCCCCTTGGAAAACTCCACTGCTATTGAAAAGACAGATTTCAGGTTGAAATTTGTTCATGAACTTTAGAATAAGGAAATATTGTATTGGGAAAGAGTATTATGGACAGATGAAACCAAAATTGAGATGTTTGCATATAATTCTTAAAATCATGTATGGAGGAAAGTTGGCAATGCCTTCACACAAAAGAACACAGTTCCAACAGTGAAATTTGGTAGTGGCAGTATTATGGTTTGGGGATGTTTTTTCTGTGGAAGGTACTGGCAACATATCAGTAATAGATGGTAGAATGAATGCCACAGTATATCAAAATATTTTGGAAGCAAATTTAATGATTTCGGTTGAAAATCTTGAACTTCCTCCTGATTGGATCTTCCAACAAGATAATGATCCTAAGCAAAATCTTCAAAGAAATGGCTTGCTAAAAATAATATAAATATCCTGAAATGGCCAAGTCAGTCTCCAGATTTAAACCCAGTTGAGAATTTGCAGTGTTAAATGAAAATTCAAATCCAGTCTAGAGTTCCAACAAACAACCCAGATTTGAAGATCATATGCAAAGAAGAATGGAACAAAATATCAACTAAAATTTGCAAGTCATTGTGAATTACAAGAAAAGGTTGGTTGTTATAGAAATGAATAATGGCTATTCTACAAAGTATTAAATGAAAATTATGTATTCTTTTTTGTATTGTATAAATACTTTTTTCACCCATTAAAATGGATAAGTAAATATACATAGAAAACAGAAAAAAATTGATTTAATAGAAATAAATTTATTTCTATTAAATCAATTTTTTTTGTTTTCTATGTATATTTACTTATTATTCATCTGTGTACAGTTAATTATATAAAAAGTATCTTTATTCGTTAGTTGGAAATACAATAAATAAAAAAATTTGTATGTGTACAAATATGTACCCCCTCTGCATATATAAGTGTGTGTATGTGTTAAGAATTTGTGTAAATGATCCTGACAGTTATATATTAAATGACAATTGTAAAAAATGTTCATAAAAGTATGTTTAAAGAAAAACAGACCACTTTAAGGTAGCATTATAATAATTTATTTCACCAGAGCCCTTTTAAAGGATGCCGGATCATCAGATAGCACTTCCAAAAATGAAATTAAAATTGATGGGTAGTGTAAGTTTTTGTAATTTAACAGTGTAAAAGGAGTAGTTAAAGATACCTGGTATAGTTTAGGGAGGGATTAATATATATAATCTCTGACAATAAGTTAGTCATTTTGCACAGTAGATAATTTGATACTTTTTAGTTTATTCTACATTAGTGTTATATTTTTTTATATTTCTTAAGCACTAAGTTTGTAATTTTTTGTGTAGCTGATTCTGATAAAATATATTGATATTATTGCTACTATCTGTAACCTGTTATTACTGTTAGGAGAGAAACATTTTTATTTGGCTGTCTATTATGCAGTTTGAAAAGCTGTTATTTTGGTGCATACTGCAGGCCATTTTTCTTCCAGAGATTAAATAATTACTTCTCTATAAATTATGAATAACAAGAAAAGGAAAGAGAAGCTATAGTGATTCCACCTATCATGAAAATTAACCACAATTTTTGTGTGTATTGAACTGTTAATAAAATACATTCTGTGGTAAATGATATACAGGCAGTCCTAGGATTGTATTGCCAGGTGTTCTTTCTATATGTAGAAATATGATTACCCACCTGTTAAAGTGAACTGGTCATAATGATTGCTTTGCTATTATGTTGAAATTAGAAAAAGAAATCAAGAGGAGCTGAGAGAACGATTTAAGAGTACAGGTAGTAGAATGTTCTTAGCCAATATCACAGTCATGAAATTTTTTTTTTCACCTATTAGTAACATCCACCATGACTAATTTTTTTTTTCTTTTAGAGTAATACTACCCAGTAAGTTTAGACAGCTTACTCATGCCAAACATGCAATAAGCATTTGACATTTGAATATCCATAACTCAAGAGATATTATTCTCACTTTTAATTCTACTTACATGTCCAGTAATTTTTGGTTTTTACAGTAAATAACTTATTGCTTCTGGTAATAATAATGATCTATATATTTTGACACACACACACACATTTTAAGACATTTTTATGTTTATACATTCTTTTTATAGATACAAATTTTAAGTATGTTTTTATAATAAGCAGTATTCTTTTATAAACATATAGATACAAATATTTAATGTATGTAAATGTATGTGTTTATATGTATAATGTATGCAGTATTAATGTAACATAGTAATTGTAACCTATGTATCCTATGTATGTATATGTATGTATGAAGAATGTATAAACATGTAAAATGTGTTATGTAAAATGTAATGTATGTATGTATGTATGTGTATGTATGTATGTATGTATGTATGTATGTATGTATGTATGTATGTATGTATGTATGTATGTATGTATGTATGTATGTATGTATGTATGTATGTATGTATGTATGTATGTATGTATGTATGTATGTATGTATGTATGTATGTATGTATGTATGTATGTATGTATGTATGTATGTATGTGTGTATGTATGTATGTATGTATGTATGTATGTATGTATGTATGTATGTATGTATGTATGTATGTATGTATGTATGTATGTATGTATGTATGTGTATGTATGTATGTATGTATGTATGTATGTGTATGTATGTATGTATGTATGTATGTATGTATGCATGCATGCATGCATGTATGTATGTATGTGTATGTATGTATGTATGTATGTATGTATGTGTATGCATGCATGCATGCATGCATGCATGTATGTATGTATGTATGTATAAATAAAGTGAAAAACTTGTGTGTAATGTTTCATCCACTGGAAAAGATCCACTGGAAAGACTTCATCTAACTAAAATGGATGAAAAGCATGGAACAGACTGAATTTATTAAAACTTATTTGTAGATCTGGTGAGGAAATTTCCAGGTACATGTGTGCAAATAATCTGTTATTGTTAAGCTGATTTTTATTCCAGTTGATTTTATTATGTTCACTTTATTCTGTTAACTTGTGTTAATGCACTTGGAAAAAGCAGGAATCTATGGATTAAATAGTAGGTCAGATTGAGTTCTTTTGCTTTGACTTGGAAGCAAGTTTAAGTGAAGGAAATCTCTGAATTCAAGCAATCTCTTTCTAAAAGATTGTCATGTTAAAGTACATGTACTGTCTTTAGGTTTTGACAATTTTGATGAGGTTAAATGTGGCAATAAAACTTGAAGAAGCCTGTTTGGAACTTTGTGGTATGCTGTGTGCCATTACTTTATCATTTCTTAAAAAAAAAAACCTTCTTAATGATAATTAGATGACACAAGCCTTGTCAATGATAATCAGATGTATAGGTAATGTAGAGGTTTCTTTCTAAACTGAACTCTTGGGCTCTCTTGCACTAAAATTGATAGGAAAGTCCATTACTCCTCTCCCCCAATAACCACATACTGACCCACAATTCTTTCTACTCTATGGTCTTTAGAATAAATGGAAATATATCTGTTACCGCCTACCCAGTAGTCATTAGGATAATATAATAAACCGGAAATACCAGACCTTACTACCCATAATGCTCAT